CGAGACAAGGAAAGCGAGAGTGCACTTTTTTTTTTTTTTTTTTTTTTTTTCTTCACAAAGTATTTGAATCTCATTCGTTTCCGACCCGCCGCCGCTATCTCAAAATCTCCTCTTCAAAAGGCAACGGCGGGGGTCTTAATACTCACCGAAAGCTTTTTTTTAATTTAAATGCGGTAGATGCTGATAAATGACTTTATACATCTTGTAATACCATTACAAGATTAGCGTTATTTTATTTATTTTTTTCCATACGGTTTTAACGGCGCAACAAACCCTCCCCAATCGGCTTTTAATGTGACGATAATACAACCCTAATTAATGGCGCGATGGCAATTATGACGCTTGATAAGCGTGACGATTTGACAAATCCCAAAGTGTTAACCAATTACTAGTTTGATGCACCCATTGAAGAATGACTTCAAGCGACGCAGCCCGCCAACAGAAATCGACTTTTAATTGAAAGCGGCCTTCAAAAGGCACTTGAGTGCACTGGAGTTCAGATAAGAGATGTCTTACCACCGAAATGCATTGATTTGGAAATCTGAAGGGGGCCAGTGGAGCTGAAATGAAAAACTCTGTCCCAGAAAAAAAAACAAAAAACAAAAAAACCCTTGTTACTGGTTTGTTTGTCACCATCCTACTGAAGACGGAATCTTCGATCTGATTTGGACTCGGGGAGGAGGCAGCATGAGGAAGTCTTTCAGACAATGGTAGAAGAAGAGAGGATTGTTCAAAGTAACGCTCGGCTCTTCCGCATAGCAAAATGTTCATTTTTTTTTCAAAACTAGTTTTTTTTTTTTTTTAATGATGAAGCAACTTGGATCAAATCAGAGCTAACGTATGCATGTCACGCCGCCCGTCTTTGTCAACGTTTTTGGGACTAGAAGTGAAACGTATCGTCATGAAAATGTTCAAAGGACATGGTGTTAAAATAGTTGTACATTTGAACGGAACTCACAGCACGAAAAGTAAAGAAATGTGTGTCTGGTAAATTATAACGGCACTTCTTGGCAGGAAGGCTAACTTTGGAAAACCCGCTTTATGACCCTGTTCAATATTGCCACATTTGTAAGCAACAAACATTTGTGGGATTAGCACGGAGCCATGTCAGGTGTGTCCCGTGTCAGGAAATTAGGCTAAAATATTTAGCGTTCTTTTCCAAAGTAAAAGCAGATATTTTGAAAATGTCTCTTTTTGGAAAGAAAAAACAAAACAAAGATCTGCTCTCCTGGAAGGGCTGCAGAAATCTGAGAATATTTAAATTGTTTAAAATCACGAGCTGCCTTGTTGCTAGGAGCAGTCTGGATGCTTCTTTGCAGCACATTTCCTTTCAAACAATCCCAAAAAGTCAGTTGATGAGCTTTTAAAGAAACGCCGTCGCAGTTCTGTGCTCTCTGGGGCACGTGAGCGGATATTACAAGTATCCATCTTGTGCTTGCTCCACGATCCATAATGCCCAGAAACATTTTAAAAATGCAAGGCGCCACACAAAGGCAACACTCCAACTCCCGTTTTGGAGGAGGGCAAACATCGTCTCTTAATTTGCTCATAATGTTAACTACGCATTTGCCGGCAAGCCCCAATCCTTCTTTGTAAATCACCATTTACCCATTTGTGTGTTTGACATCTGAACCGACCTTTTTTGTTGAGGAGTCGCTGACCACCCTTCCAAGGCCGCATGTCACGAGAAGCATTTTACAGATTGAAAAGACATCAAAATATAGTTGGTGCGCTCGGCTGTTGCGAGACAAGGAAAGCGAGAGTGCACTTTTTTTTTTTTTTTTTTTGTCTGTGCAACAGTGTCGCCAGTCTGCCTCAAAGGAGATTGTGTCAAGGTCCCTTCCTGGTACTTCTGAGGTTGTCAATGAAATATTTTTTTTACCTGAAGTTGCTGAAGAATTTTTGTGAGACTGGCATTGGAGTGAGTTATTTACATAACTTCCGTGAATGAGGGATTTGCTGCCTCCGTCGGTATTTCCAACTGTGGAAAATGCGAAATTTCATATCTGGCTTTTATTCCAAGTGCTCGGCTGGTTATGTGGCGCAAGAATGAAATGAGGCAAACGTTTTGCCTCCGAAGCCAAATTCACCCAGCTATGCTTGAAATTCTCATGACAAGTGCACTTAACTGTATGCACTTTCCTTTAAAAGCTTTGTGTGTGTGTGTGTGTGTGGGGGGGGGGGGGGGTCAACAACACAGTGCTCTATTACCTGAAATTACAACGGCTCCGGATACTATCTCAGAAACGGCCACATTATTTCAAAAGCCGCTCATCAGCGTAATGAGGCATATCACGCAAAAGACACCCTCATACCGACGCGCACGCTCGCTCTCAGAATAAAATTCAAAGTCAAAGCGGGAGATAGCAAAGGGAAAGATCTAGGCAAGAGTGTTCGTCAGAAGCAACGAGAGTCCTTTTAGAGAGCGAGCGAGAAACTGGAAGGCCTCCAAATGTTCCACTCGGGATTATCTTCAAGGACAATCGGCTAAACGGTTCATATTAAGAGAGCGGTGTGAAATCGATGGCTCCAGGTGTTATCTGCGGGCCCGCAATTAGTCCCGGCGGAAGGAGCGTTGCCGAGCGACGGTGATGGATTTCATTGCAATAGATTTCACTGCAGATACAGCACATAACTATACACGGCGCATTAATGTTGCATTTGACAAGTGGGAAATACCTGCATTGAGTCAAGACGTCTGACAGCTGCAGTCGAAGCTGTCTCCGTCATTTGCGGGGCGGGGGAGTCTCCAGAATAATCTGACGTGGAGATGATGAAAGCCTTTCAATCCACAGCTACGCGTGGATATGAGGTTCAGTATATTGCACGTTGGACCAGCATTTGTGAGACGTTTAGACATAATGGCACTACTTCAGTCGCCACCTTCGACGTTTTAGCTGTCAAATTTTTTGTGGATTTTAAATGAAATGAAAATGAATCGAAGACGCTATGCAGCATGCGCAAATTCTTTGAAACGGTCTACATTGCAAAAAGAAATGCCAAGCACGCTGTGGACTTTTTTTTTTGGCTGGCATTTTATTTTATAATTACCTTATTTTCCACACGACAAGGCGCTTCGGAGTATAAGGCTCACCTTCAACGAATGGCTTGTTTTAAAACTCTTTTGATATATTGGGCGCACCGCATTATAAGGCACATAGAATAGAAGCTACAATAGTGGCTGCGATTGCGTTATGACTCCACTAGATGGAGATAATACAATACAATGCAGTTTTATTTATATAGAGCCTTCACAACCGCTGCAGCTGTAACAAAGCGCTTTACAGAACATTTCAAATACTACGTCCAAGAAATCTGAATATTGATCCATATATAAGGCGCATCGGATTATAAGGCGCACTGTTGGAAAATACGGTACTCCCACCATTATTTTTTTAATGGTGGGAAAAAAAACAGCCACATAATGTGCAACTTGTCTTGCTTTTTACAACAGAAGCTGAAGCAGAAGAACCAGCAGTTGAAGCAGATTATGGATCAACTCCGCAACCTCATCTGGGAAATCAACTCCATGTTGGCCATTCGAAGTTGAGCCCACGCCAGAGTTTATAAACCCGCACACTCGCACCCTGAGGAGATCTGGACCCATGAAGAGGCCGCAGATTTGCTGAGGTGGCACTTTATTTCCGGAAGGAAAGTGGATAGATGAAGATGGCATGGTGTCACGCCGCCGAGAGATGAAAATAGGCAACCCAAAAAAAACAAACAAAAAAAAAAAAGCTCAGTGGTGATATGTTGGTCTACCTCGAAATTCGACATTTCAAATCGGTATTGATTTTAAATTCAACTCCCATTTTTTTTTAATCAAAATACAATACATCTATTTAATCCTCTCAATTTGTGTGACTAATCAGTTTAACTGTCCTAAATGTTTCAACTCGAATCAACTCAAGTCCTGAAATGAGGCAAGCATATGTGTGGTTAATTACTGACATTTTATTGATTTTTAAAACGTAAAATTTCAATGGATGTAAATGCCAACACTTGAACAAATTAAAAATATTGAATCACTACATTTAATGGGTGTCATTGAGTGCCATCACTATGCCGTAGCATAGGGATGCCGGGATCGAAAATAAGGGGGCCTGATCACTTGACTGCTACAAACAAAAAAAAACAAAAAAACATTTGGATTGGTCCGTTTTGAAAGGTTGCAACCTTGTAATATGGGGAAAGATGTTTTGAGATAGTGACGACTTACAAAAGTGAGCACGGAACAAATTCAGCTCTTGGGCCAAGGTGCCAACTGCACAGGCATCTTTTCGCGGTAGCCGCTGGCACTTTCGTGAGGTCAAAATATATATATTGTGGTTGAGCGTTTTGATTTTGAAACCCATTACGATACATGTATATAAAAAACGAAACTAAAACAGCACGACCCGCAAACCTCTTCTAAAAATCAACTATAACAGAAGTTGAGCCAAAAAAAAAAAATCACTCCAATTACAAATCGTAAACTGTAATCACCCTCGTCCAAACTTGAAGTGTAAACATAATGAAAGTGTCTAAAAGATTTTTAGCGGACTGTAGACTTATATTTTGTACTGCTAGTGTTCTCACTTCCGTCTGTCCCATCTCTTTTGAGATTTCTGCCCGACTCCAATAAAGATCTCTCAAAGTATAAATAACCACAGAGGGAGTATATAAAACTCCCCTGGTGCGCTGAAAAACTGCTCTGACATATAAAAAAAAAAAAAACAAACACAAAAAAAAAAGGCATCATCCATTCTGCAAGAAAAAATGGTCCATCTCCACTTAACTACAGTTAAAGTTTTTATGTCGGTGACAGTTAAACCTTAGACCTGAAGGTAATTCCAAATAAAATTCCCAGATAACCTTTCAGACCGTGAGGGGGCGGGACACCAAAAGCGCACGCGTGGAAGTCGGGCGAGTGAAGCAGCAAGACACAGGCGTCGTCAAATGAGTTTCTTTTATTTATAAATCATCCTTACAAAAATCATCATGAGTCTATCTCATTTTGCGACCCTCTATAAAAGTCTTTTACATAATAGGAGGAGGAGGGGGAGAGGAGAAGGCATCGGGACAGCCGCGCGCTTTGACCTCACGTTATCAGCTTCTGGCGGATCGCGCCATCGCGGTCGGCGATGATAAATAATCCGAAACATGGTTGGGTCATGGTAGTGGTGTGCAAACACAACAGGAGGAAGGGTGGGGGTGTGGGTTGGGGGGGGTCGGTGACATGACAGCGACATGACAGCAGACGCTCCTCGGCAGTGCAAGAACTCGCGTTCACAAAAGGCACAAATGAAGACAAACGCCAATAGTCTGGCATGTTTTTTTTTTTTTGTGGGGTGGGGGAGGATTTGGATGGACCCTCCCTTCCACCAAGCATCGAAGATGCATTTTCTAACGCAGCACGAGTGCGTCGTCGACAAACTTTTACTGCTTCTCATTCTCCGCCCTAATTTGTGAATTGGGGCTTTTTGCAATTTGACTCCCGCCGAGAGACAAGATGGCCGCACCCCGATCCAATTTAAGATCAATGGCGTATGTGATCGTCAATGTTAAAACCTCTTCCAAATGTTGCACGTTTGTACAGGCGGGACGCCAGTGGATGTTTCCCAGAGGGTAAAAAAATCAAAACAAAAATCAAAGAAAAAAACAAAACAAAACTTTGTCGAGTGAAACTTAAGCCAGGTGGTGTTATTGGCGTGTGAACATGAAACTGAATAAATACTTTTAACTCCCCTTAGCAATGCAGGCTCATCCGAACATGACACCTTATAGTCTAAACAGTCCTGTTTACAGAAAAAATAAATATGTTAATGTACAGTGCAGGGAATTATTGGCAGAGTTGCAGGATATGCGTTTTTTTCGGGGGAATCCGTGACAATTACTCAACCAATAAGACATTTTTTTTAAAAGGCTCAAAGTGGATTTAAGACAAATGAGAAACGGATGCTTTAAAAAAAAAAAAAAAAAAAAAAAGTGCTGTCAATGAAACCTTCTGCCACCAACAAATCTCATTCAAAGCAACAGGACCAGAAGGGAATACTGAGCGAGAGAGAAAATGTCATGCAGCAAAAAGAGGCGTCAACTACAAATGCAAACATTTGTACAGTGGAACCTCAAAATTCCAATTCATTGTAAAATTTAGAAACTGGCAAAAAACAAAACAAAAAAAAAACCCTTGTGACAGGTCGCCATGATTAATCCATCCGTGCATCCATTTTCTAATTATCCTCACGAGGGTCGCGGGTGCGTGCTGGAGCCTATCCCAGCTGTCTTCGGGCAGTAGGCGGGGTACACCGCGAACTGGTTGCCAGCCAATCGCAGGGTACACAGAGACATAAAACCATTCGTGCTCGCACTTAAGGACAATTTAGAGCAGGGATGCCCAATACGTCGATGGTGATCGACCGGTAGCTCACCAAATGGTCCCAAGTCACTTGCGGCTTGCGATCAGAGCAATCGTGCTTTATCTTTTTGTTGTCGTGATTGTTCTCATTCAGAGTTTGTTTCATGTACAATTCAGAGAGGGCACTGGCGAAGAAAGGCAATCCGGAGGGCCGAGAGAAGCTTTTGAAAACGCTACACGTGAGCTACGACCGTTAACACGCCGCAAAAAGTGCGTCCCGCGCCTCCGCCTCAGGTCTCGACTACGGTAGGCGGTGATTTCCTTTTCACAATCTCGCAAAGTTTTGTGTCGACTTTATTTTTCTGTTTCGTTCATCTTAGGGGCTGTTATGGCTGCTGCTCATCATGGCGCGCGTGCCGGTAACAGGTCGATCGTGGCAGGTTGGTAGACCTCGAGTAACTTTTAGCCAGCCTCCACTACCTTAAACTTTTATCCGATATTTTTCAATACTAAATCCTGCGCCCTCTGGGAGCAGCTTGGTAGCAAGCAACTACGTTGAGGGGAGGAGTTTCGTTTCGTAATCAGCTTGTGTCATCTGTCGGAAATTACAGCGCGTTTTGGGTCAGCGTCAAATGGCGTGCGGATTTTTCATTCGCTCTCCTTTTTTTAAGATAAAATGGCAGTGGCCCAACGGTCGTTAAAACGTTCTGACGTAGCATAAGTCTTTTGATTTCCATTGGGAAGGCGTTAAGGTTCCACTGTACTTGAACTTGCGCTTGATTTAGCTCCTATTTGCTTTTGCGTTTGATGTGACAGTGTTGCGATTACACTCGATCGCGTCAGCATGACCTCATCATGGCACTGTTGCATTTTTTTTTTAACTAACAGCAAAATGAAAAAAAAAATGGCAGTGAGTGATTCACAGCTTTGGCTGAATGCGAGCTCGACAGATAGGCCGCGAAAAGCACGTTTCATTCATTCAAGTGTCCGAGCGGACTTCCGATCTCGTCGCTCGAAAATGATCAACTCAAGAGCGGCTGCCGATGAAGTTGCAAACCGTTGGCCTGTTTGATGTCGGTACATAATCAACGTTGTGGATCGATGCCGCTAATGCTAATTCTAAATTTTAAAGGTGCAACTCGGCCTCGTCAAATTAATCCAGGCAGCGACAAGGTGCAATAAATAATTCTGAAGGCAGACCTGATGTCAACATGGCACGCTCAGGAAATGACACCGATGGCCCGGCAAGGATGCCGTTTACATTTCAGGCCAACGGAGCAGGATGCGAATGGCAGTTGAACATTTCGTGTTTTACTCCGGTTCTCCCAAAATGTTCATTTTTTTGCTCATCTGCGAAGAACGAGGCAAATGAGTTTCGACTTAGAGTTGGATGTGCCATCTCTCACACAGCCTCTCACACACTCACTCTGAGAAAATTAAAACACAATTACACTGATGAGCGAGGGGACAATTAGCTCAGAAATAAATGAAACAGACTAGAAAAGCAAAACAAAACAAAACAGAGACTTTGGGTCGTTAATGGCGGGGAACATGAGGAAATGTCATTTCTTGTCATTCTGATTGGGATATAGCACGTTAATGTCCGTAAAAGCAAAAAAACGATTCTCTGAATTCCAACCCTCTCCGTGACAGCTGATTGGTCAAAAAAATCAAATCAGGCGATAAAGCAGTGTTGGGGGCGGCGGGATTGTAGTAGGGTCAGGGTGAGAGTACGTCCGGTCATCGTGTCCTGATGGATTGCTTGGGGTGGGGCGGGGTTTGCGGCGGGCAGTGTTATCAGAAATGCCCCCCTCCCCCTCGACATCCAGAAACTTCTCTTATGCGGACCTGCTGGGCGAGCAGGACAGTCAGTGTCATCCACCCAAAAAAAAAAAAAAAAAAAAAAAAATTCTATCCAAGAGTTGTTGTCAGCAGTATGTGCAAACCACTGTTCCTTATCTCCATATTCTTCTCAGCGTTTGTTCACATCAGCAACACGGCGGAGCGTCATCGCTTCCCCGCCCCCTGCCCTCACGCCTCCCCCGGCGTAGGGGGTGCTGGTCCTGTCAGAGCCTCTCGATGTCCCTGTATTTCTTGCGAAGGATGGACACCTGGTCCTTGAAAAGGACCGGATCCAGTCTCATCTGGGAGCGGATCAGCGGCATGACGCCAAACCAGCTGGCAAACTTGTTCATGCACGTCTGCCGTTGAGCGAAGTGGTCCGGGTCGGCCCAGCGAGATGCCCTCGAAGACTAAGGAGGGGGGGGAAGCAAAGCGGTCGAATTAACGCTCATGAGTAACAAACATGCTTTTTTTCCCCAAGTCTAACATTGCATGGTCACACTCTAAATGCTTTACGATACACGGTCATCTGAAAAAAACGGATGTAAAATCTTGACGTGTTTTTTTAAGTCACCTTACTTCATTATACATTTTATTATATTACTATTAAATGATACACTATACTTTTTTTTATCGACCATGTATAGTAAGGCCTTTTTTCAACGACCATTTAAATGAAGGCATTTTTTTAAAACGACTGTGTATAGTAAGGCTTTTCTTTTTTAAACGACCATGTTTAGTAAGGCTTTTTTTTTGAAACAACCATGTATAGTAAGGCGTTTTTAGCCGAAAAAACGACCATGTATAGTCAGGCGTTTTTAGCCGAAAAAAACGACCATGTATAGTCAGGCGTTTTTCGCCGAAAAAAACGACCATGTATAGTAAGGCGTTTTCAGCCAAAAAAACGACCGTTTTTAACCGAAAATGACGACCATGTCTAGTAAGGCGTTTTTCGCCGAAAAAAATGAGTTTTTGGCCGAAAAGGACGACTATGTATCGTAAGGCGTTTTTAGACGAAAAAAACGACCATGTACAGTAAGGCGTTTTTAGCCGAAAAAAAAAACGACCATGTATAGTGAGGTGTTTTTAGCCGAAAAAAACGACCATGTATAGTAACGCGTTTTTAGCCGAAAAAAACGACCATGTATAGTCAGGCGTTTTTCGCCGAAAAAAACGACCATGTATAGTAAGGCGTTTTCAGCCAAAAAAACGACCGTTTTTAACCGAAAATGACGACCATGTCTAGTAAGGCGTTTTTCGCCGAAAAAAATGAGTTTTTGGCCGAAAAGGACGACTATGTATCGTAAGGCGTTTTTAGACGAAAAAAACGACCATGTACAGTAAGGCGTTTTTAGCCGAAAAAAAAAACGACCATGTATAGTGAGGTGTTTTTAGCCGAAAAAAACGACCATGTATAGTAACGCGTTTTTAGCCGAAAAAAACGACCATGTATAGTCAGGCGTTTTTCGCCGAAAAAAACGACCATGTATAGTAAGGCGTTTTCAGCCAAAAAAACGACCGTTTTTAACCGAAAATGACGACCATGTCTAGTAAGGCGTTTTTCGCCGAAAAAAATGAGTTTTTGGCCGAAAAGGACGACTATGTATCGTAAGGCGTTTTTAGACGAAAAAAACGACCATGTACAGTAAGGCGTTTTTAGCCGAAAAAAAAAACGACCATGTATAGTGAGGTGTTTTTAGCCGAAAAAAACGACCATGTATAGTAACGCGTTTTTAGCCGAAAAAAACGACCATGTATAGTCAGGCGTTTTTCGCCGAAAAAAACGACCATGTATAGTAAGGCGTTTTCAGCCAAAAAAACGACCGTTTTTAACCGAAAATGACGACCATGTCTAGTAAGGCGTTTTTCGCCGAAAAAAATGAGTTTTTGGCCGAAAAGGACGACTATGTATCGTAAGGCGTTTTTAGACGAAAAAAACGACCATGTACAGTAAGGCGTTTTTAGCCGAAAAAAAAAACGACCATGTATAGTGAGGTGTTTTTAGCCGAAAAAAACGACCATGTATAGTAACGCGTTTTTAGCCGAAAAAAACGACCATGTATAGTCAGGCGTTTTTCGCCGAAAAAAACGACCATGTATAGTAAGGCGTTTTCAGCCAAAAAAACGACCGTTTTTAACCGAAAATGACGACCATGTCTAGTAAGGCGTTTTTCGCCGAAAAAAATGAGTTTTTGGCCGAAAAGGACGACTATGTATCGTAAGGCGTTTTTAGACGAAAAAAACGACCATGTACAGTAAGGCGTTTTTAGCCGAAAAAAAAAACGACCATGTATAGTGAGGTGTTTTTAGCCGAAAAAAACGACCATGTATAGTAACGCGTTTTTAGCCGAAAAAAACGACCATGTATAGTCAGGCGTTTTTCGCCGAAAAAAACGACCATGTATAGTAAGGCGTTTTTAGCCGAAAAAACGACCATGTATAGTCAGGCGTTTTTAGCCGAAAAAAACGACCATGTATAGTAAGGCGTTTTCAGCCAAAAAAAACGACCGTTTTTAACCGAAAATGACGACCATGTCTAGTAAGGCGTTTTTCGCCGAAAAAAATGAGTTTTTGGCCGAAAATGACGACTATGTATCGTAAGGCGTTTTTAGCCGAAAAAAACGACCATGTACAGTAAGGCGTTTTTAGCCGAAAAAAAAAACGACCATGTATAGTAGGCCGTTTTTAACTGGAAAAAAAAAACAACCATGTCTCGCAAGGCATTAAAAACAAAAACAAAGTTACACCAAACCAAATATGGGAGATGTGCTGCAGCCTCACCTGTCCCATCATGGTCTCCTTGTACTGTTTCTTCTGGGTGACCTTAATCGGCGGGAGCTTGGTGACGGCCGAGACCAGGAAGTTCATCAGGATGTCCTCACAGTTGGCCAGCGTGTCCACCATACTCTTCAGACTCGAGGGCAGGTAGTTGGTGTACAGGTAGTGGTAATACCTGCAAGACACGGCACAACGGCGTCTCACCCGTGAGCTTTTGCCTCACTCAACGCCTTTGCAACAGACACCGAAGACTGTTTACGTTGTCCCTCTTTTCCAAAATATTCATAACAATGAAATGCAAGGGCAATTTTGGTGTATCTAATAAAACACTGAGGTGATTATAGATTCATAAGATTTTCGCCGCTGTAATGGTCCTCTGAGGAAATCATAATGCGGCCCGTGATGAAAATGGATTTGACACCCCTGCCGTGCTTGGTTCAATCAAGGTGCACTAAAGACAAAGCAAGCAAAAAAAGGGGGAGATGGGGGGAAAGGAAAAGAAGCTTGAATTAAATTATGCAAATGATGTGAAAATGATGCTCAAAATATTGACAAATCCGAGCGGTGTGCAAATGAAATGAGCAATGGCGTTAACAATACGAGACAATAAAGACGCAACAAATTCTGCTTGTGTGTTTTATTTATGTCGACCGTGAGCTGTTTTGCATCCCTTGCTTCGCTTCAGGACGACGAGAGGATGATACAGTGCAGTTTTACGGCCCTACTTTGCAAGTTTTGACTGCGTAAACAATGATTTGTTTCGAAAAAGCTGTCATTTGACATTTGACTTGATCACGTGTCACCGGCCTGCAGACGACCAACACTTGTCAATCACGCGGCTGTTTTTTTTTCCACCCATGCAATAAAGCCGAGAGAGACGAGAAGAAAGACATTGTCATCATTTTCATCGGCCCTCTGTTGATATCGTAATTGCAACTAGCGTCTTGTCACTCTATTTCAGCCCACTTCATTTTTCCAGGTTGTGGATTCAGTGACGTGGGACGGCGGCTGATTCGGCAACTTCCAGGAAGGCTATTTGCCTGCCTTCCAGATTTATGGTCAGATCTCATCACAGCTTGGTGAAGCCATACCGACTCTGACATGGAAGCAATAATGTTGAAACCGTGGCGGTGAAATATGTGCTTCAGGTACAATGAGGGATTCTTTCAGAGATGGGATTACAGTGACCCGAGGGAATAAAATTGCGGCGCGCCGCACCTGTGGTAGATGGCGGCGCCGGTCAGCACCATCGAGTAGTCATTGGTCCACTTGGAGGTGTAACCCCAGCGCTCCTTGTTGCCGTCCCAGAAGTGGCTGCGTGCCGGATAGCCGACGATTCGCTCGGGAAAACTCTGCCACACGGTGAAGGCAAAATCCACCTGGACACGGACGATGTTGTTGGAATGCAATAAAAATGCCGATAATGAACTATTTCGTTGCAATGAAGTGGAAACTTTTTTTTTTCAGTGCTCAGTGTATTTCTCAACCAAATTCACACGCATCTGGGAATATATTTTTGGATACCTCATTGAAAATAAAAAATACAAACGGGTTTGACAACAGGTGTCGACTGCGCATGAAAACATAAGTTAGAGCGAGCAGCCTTTTTTCTTGGCGGTCATCAAAAATGTTGAAATCAACTTAATCTTCTTTGTAGTTTCCAGCATTCTGGATGCCTTGTGGCACCATGCTGCCTCTTACAGGTCCGCCTTGGTACTGCACCACACTCCGCTTGTCAATGAAATAAAAAGATGTTCAAATCTGGAACCACAGAGTTTTCCCCTGACAAAAATGGCCATGAAAAAAAACAAAAAAACAAAAGTCTGACTACACTTAGTCATGAAAAAAAAAAAAAAC